TTCTCCAAGATAAACTGATTTCTTTACTTTATTTTACCATGTATGGGAAAGAGCGCGTCGAAAACTATCTATTTCTATTAATAATATGTTTTTCTGAGTATCTTTACCAGCGAGTTTAACATTCTGATTTGAAACACATGAAATTTTGTACCGACGGATTTTTTGAGAATTTTATTCACTACATGGACAAATTTTAAAAAATCAGTAGATGTTCTGAAAGCTAGGTAAAACCTCACAACTTTTGTCTAGAAGAGTTTTTTTGTCATTCTCCAGTTTACACAGTAAAAAAATATTGTGTCGCAGTTTCTGTGAGAAAATTGTGTCGTACGATTGTGTGACGGTTACTAAGAACTTTTAGACACAGTTGTTGAGGTCATTCCAGGATCAGCTCTATTCAAAAAATTGTTAAATTTTATGTTTTACTATTTTTCGCAGTCTTCATTAGGATTTTTCTTGGTTTCTCTTCAATTTTGATGTGCTATAAGTGGCACTAATACGTAAAAGATACGAAAATTTTCGAACTTCTTAAATGTTTTCAATTTCGAATTGATCTTATTAGTGGGTAACTGGTAATTGGACATAGTCTATCGTGTAACCGTATGAAAACGGTTTATTTTAAAGTGCATAATGAACCTTTGGTGATCTAAACTTCGGCGTAGAGATGTGCAGGATAGCTGTTTCTGGAATCCTGGCCGTACCCTGTGAAAAATTCTTGTATCCTCCTCCTACCCTACCCTGTGGCACAAGAGCCCTGGCCCTACCATTTGGAAATCTTTAGATTTTTTCATGAAAATCATTTACTTTATCTTTATATAAATTATACATAAAATCACCATTTTTTAAAACTTTTTAGCAGCAAAATGTCATCAACCATTTCGCCATCCAGCCTTTGTCGACGCTCTTCTAAAACGCGTCCGCTGGAACTGAATATTCTTTCGGATGTTGCCGAACTGGCAGATATACCTAATAATGATCGCCAGCAAACTTAATTTCGGGTATATCAGTGTGTATTTCTTTCACCACGACAATCTAAAATATACAAGACCGAAGTTCGGCGGTCTCGGCATATGGTCCTTTGTGCATATGCAATTCCGAGTTTAAAATAACACTAGCAGGTTTCATGGTTAACAGCAAAAGTTCTCAAGCGATTGTTTGACGGGAAAGTACTGCTATCAATTGAGTAACAACACCATAGTACCTTTCACTGATATAATTGTCATCTACTATCTGTGGCCATTTACTTTTTGATCCAGTGGCGGATTGAGGATGATGGATGCGGCGGCTGTGGTTGCACCCATCAGACTTTCAGTATTTATCACCCAAAAGCTTTTTTACTTTGCTTTTGTATGCCATATGCACTCACGGAATGTTTTACATTATACCGTAGCCATCGGAAAAAATGTCTAGATCCCCCACTGAACTATCCAGAGAACTAAGTATCCTCTATTTTCTATGAATTATCGATGATTTACCTAATTAAATGGCAAACATATGAACATCATCAGTTGTATGATAAAAAACCTGTCGCAATTTCTCAAATAAGTTTTACTGTAAGAACATTTAATACTCTTTTTCGAAATCATGCAGCTTGACTAGTTCTTCCGCATCCAGCACTTTGGATTGTTTCAAATAGTAGGCATTAAGATGGGTTAGATCGTGTATACTCAACTGCTTTTTGTAGGTGAATATTCGATTGAAAGGTATACTAGAATATAGATATAATGTGTGTAGAGAATCTTCTTCTTAGCTGTAATGCAGCGAACTTCTTTAACACATGAATTCCATGAGGACATTTTCGATAAATTTATCGCGATAAATGATATTTTTATCCACCCGTCACCCATTTTTCTGGTGTTTATCGAAAGGAAAAAATTCAGCGCGATAAAGAACTTTTTCATCGCAGAAATCTCCTTTATCGCGATACCTGTCGATGAATTTTTTCTTTCCATAAATAGTAGAAAAATGGGTGACGGATGGATAAAAATATTATCTATCGAAAATGCCCTGCCCTCATAGATAGTTTTCCTCCAAAGTAAAAATGTATGTTTTTTGTTGCGAAAACTAGCAGCTTTTTGAAATCTAGCTTTTTCGTTGATGGTTTTCTGTTTAATGAGTACATTTTATTGATAACAATTAATTGTACAATTGTATACATTTGTATACAAACTATAGTTTATATACAAGATCTGACTATAGTCAGATCAAACAGAACCATTACATTATTCAGATGTCGATTATTTCGGGGTTTTTAATAAGATCAAAAGTATCTTTCATAGTACTGGAGCTCTTTGGTAAAACCGATCAAGAACATCGTCAACTTGTGAAGGATCTAAAGGAAACAATTACAGTTACAGATAAGGATATTCACATTCTAAACCCAGCAGCACTTAGGTGAAGTGCCTATTTGGTATCGGACTTAGAGAAGGGATTAGTTAGTGACCTATCGGTTTTACCAAAGAGCTCCAGTACTATGCAAGGTACTTTTGATTTTGTCAAAAACCTCCGAAATACACGATATCTGTCGGCAGATAATGTAATGGTTTTGTTTGATCTGACTAGTTTGTATACAAATGTACCTTTAAACGAAGTACTCAAATTGTTATCGATAAAATGTACTCATTAAACAGAAAACCATCACTGAAAAAACTAGATTTCAAAAAGCTGCTAGTTTTCGCAACAAGAACCAGACATTTTTACTTTGCAGGAAAATCATGTGATCAAATAGGTGCAGTTTCAATGGGTCACCAATATATTGGTGTGCTATAGCTACTGCTATAGCACCTTTGATGGCTGAATTATTTATGTTGGATTTTGAGGACAAACATTTAGCGCCTCTGAAACGCAGCGGTGCGAAGTTTTGGTGTAGATATGACGCTGATACGCTTTTGCTTTTATATAAAAATTGTGATCCATTGATAATTGCTGTACTTCTATCGAGTCTCCATAGATCAATATCTTTTACGTTCGAATTTGAAGATATTAACTACACTGTTTCTAGATGTTCGGATAACTAGCCATGCGTCGGATTTCAGTACAACAGTATACAGAAAACCCACTTTTACCGGTCACAAGGTAGGATTCTACGTACCAATCTCATACAAACGTAAATACGTTTGTATTTACTCTGCATAATAACTAATATTCAACTAATAAGTTGCGAGAAAACAAAGTCGAAGAGAAATGGAGTATACTACTAATTTACACTGCAGCAGAAATTTTTCTTGTTCAAAAAGAGGGAAAGAGAGTCTTTGGCAGAGAGGAAACATATCGAAACACAATATACACATGATCATTGAAAAAAACACAAATACTATAACTAGAAACTCAAACGTGATATTTTTATATGACAAAAGAGAGCCTTTTGATTCCAAATCCAAAAGGAAAACCGCGATAACTTTTCTCAGAAATTATTGCGATGAATCAGTTATCTTCAGTAATCGTATTACTATCCATCGCAAAATACGGTGCGTGCGGATGTTTTTTTAATAACTTTTAAATGAAAGACGATAGAGACCTGCGGTTTTCAGATTCTGAAACTAGACACTTTGGGGCATAGACCTATAAAAAAATCAGAGCGCTCAATCAGCTTTGCCATGGTGTACCATTCAAGGCAACGCCCGAAAGCTTACCGTTCCCAAAGAACACTATGAAATCCAATCTTAAATGATACCATTCGATAGCCAAAACATTTCTTTTCAAAATTACGCAAGATCTAGATATTCACCTCCTTTGATTTCGGAGATACAGGTTTTTCCGAGGACACACCTATCTCGTTTTAGACAAGTCTGGAACGTGTCTGAAAAACATGTGGATCATAGGTAGTCGACCACACTGATTACCGTGGTAATGTTTGTTTCAGTGCGGAAACGAAACTACGCTCAGAAGATAAAATATTTGGAAAATCCGATTTTTAGTCTTTGACCGTAGTAAATTAAAAGTTTCATAAATCAGTCATTTTTTGTCCAAATTGACTCAAATTTTGAGGAGACACTCAAAACACATCACAGATACGCGATCGAACCGAAAACATCGTTCGAAAATTTGCTTACCTGCTGGCGTTTTGGAGGACGTTTCTGGAAAACCTTCCTTATAACGGTAGTTTACAACCACTTCTTTCAGGTCGATCTTGTATCTGTGACGTGTTTTGAGTGTTTCCTCAAAATTTGAGTCAATTTGGACAAAAAATGACTGATTTATGAAACTATTAATCTACTACAGTCGAAGACTAAAAACCGAATTTTCAAAATATTTTATTTTCTGACCGTATTTTCGTTTCCACACTGAAACAAACATTACCACATCTAGTTTCAGAATCTAAAAACTGCAGGTCTCTATCGTCTTTCGTTTAAAAGTTATTCAAAAAACAGCCGCACGCACCGTATTTTGGGATGCATAGTAGTTATCGCTATGTTCTTTCATATCGAGATAAAACAGGAGAAAATTAATCTCCTCATTAATTGGGATAAAAATTTAATCGCGATACTTATAGCTTCTTGTCGAGATAAACCTTTATCACGATAAAGTTCGATAAAAATTTATCGGGGTTATTTATCGCGGTTTATTGACATACAAGTATTTACAACGCTAAATGACTAGTGTACCGCGATAGTTTGGACTACTGCGTTTTATCGAAAGACTGCGATAAACTGTAATAGCTTTTATATCGCAACAGAGTTGCTCATTATCGCGATATTTCAACACATTTAGCATAATATCTCGATATATCACACGTTTTCAATTAAAATTTCCCTCATGGGATGATATTTACTTCATTAACTGCTGTACGACGAGCACACTGCTACAGCATATAGTACAATCCTTTTCTGGAACTTCAGTCTATCGTTAAATTTGATATAAGCTTTATTCTGTCAGAATACAAGCGGAACAATATTTCATTATAGTATTCTAAATTATTGAAAAATTTAAAATCAAATTTTTTTTCACATATAGATGAAGAGGGTGTAGATTACGGAGGGGTTCTGCGTGAATGGTACAACGAAATGGCTAAAGAAATGCTTAATGTCGATTGTGGTTTATTTCAAGGAGTGGATTGGGGTGATAATCACCGGATTTATTCATTGTATCCTGTTTCATATTTCAATGAAAGACATTCATCTTATTTAACATTTATTGGACATATCGTTGGAAAAGCCATTTATGATAATGCGTATTTAAATTGTACATTTGCTCCCGTATTCTATAAACAGATATTAAGCTTACCGATTGAATACACGGATATGAAATATGTTGACAAAGATCATTTCGATTCTTTACAACAATTATTAGACAATGATATAGCCACACTGAAGTTGGATAATTTGACGTTTAGTTTTAACAGTGAATATGGACAAACGAATGATTTATGTAAGGACGGAAGAAATATTCAAGTGACGAATGATAATAAGCAATGCTATGTAAACTTGCTTTGTGAGTTTAAATTAAATCGACCATGTATTCGAAAACAATTAACAGCGTTTTTGACAGGATTCTATGATATTATACCAAAACACCTAATTCAAAGATTTAATGAACGTGAATTAGAACTAATAGTATCAGGTAAAATAACTAAGAGTAAAAATCACCATCAAAACAGAAGACAGATTTCCATCTAACAAGAAGAGCACTTCTGCTAAAGAGTTGGAATGTAACACGTTTTATTGATTAGATCCACGGTAATTACTAACCTACAATTAATAAAAGTCGTTGTTCGTGAGAAGCAAAACTATATGGAAGTGACACGCGGCTCTCTTAGAATGTTAATGGCAGTTTTATAATAAGTAACCCCTTCTACTTTGCAATAATCATAAAGTTTCAGTGCTAAGCTTCATTTAGCTCGAGAAGATAAAAAAAATTCAGTAAATGTATCTACAAAACATATTTTAGAGTTTTGAGAATTATTTCAGTCAAGACGCGTGGGAAACATGTGATTTCATGAAACATATAAACCTAAGTTTTCACTTCCTTAACAATTCATAAACATGTATAGTAAAATTTGTCTTTGTGCTGTTCAAAAAATGTCAGTTCGATTGTATTTCAGTTTTCAATTATATTTTAGGCTTGGTGAATATTGACATAGATGACTTAAAGGCCAATACAGAATATTATGGATATCAACCAAATTCTCCACAGGTATGTCTGTTATATGCGAAATTGATACGAATTGGAATTGTTGCATCCGTTCTTTGTTCACAATTTTTCCTTCTCAGAAACCCAGTATCACCTGAAAAAAATTGATTTTTTTGTAATCTTAGACATAATCAGGGACGTAGCCAGGGAGACCTAGGTGGCCGACCGCCCCCCTTAGGAAAAAATTCCCTGAGTGGGGGGTACAGGAAAGCAATCTCGCGAAAGCGGAAATCTTTTTACCATGGTGGGCTCCCCCCCTCTTACAAAATTCCTGACTACGTGCCTCGACATAATTATAATATTACAGTTACTCAACTTCTAAGGAAACCCTTTTGTGGTTTTTTCGATCCGTCCCTCGGATGAAGTTCAGTGACAAGGGTATACTCTTTCGCGAGATTTTGGTATAATTTCCAGTGCATATTGTAGTGTTGCCGAGGGCGCTGTGCAGCATTACTAGAAGGAAAAGGCACAAGCGCTGACGCTAAAATTTTGAAAGAATAGCCCGCTATATGTTTCCGCGAAGCGAAAGCTTTTTATGCCTTCTTTACAAATTCACATCAAACAGAGCAATTCTTCTAGAATGGTAAAGAGTTTATTTCTTCACACCACTTGAAATTTGTATCGTTTGATCGTTGAACAGAGCAGTGAGCGGGTCTATTTGCGATAATTTACAAAAATCAGGATTTTCAGGCAAAATCAGGACCGCTGCGAGACCTGAAGTTATTGTAAAGAACAGTCTTCAAACGCCATCCGATGGCGTTGGAAGCCTGTTCTCTACAAAAAATATCAAATTTTAATATGATTCTTGTGCAAAATTTGTCGTCCTTCTAACTTCCTATGAATATGACTAATTTTCAAGGTCACGCATTTACTTCATGCCTAGCCAAATGGTTATTTTATAAAATTGTTTGTATGGAAATTGAATGAAAGTGGTTCGAGAAAAGAGTACTTCATCCTAAACGCGCATGACGGAATTATATTTTTTCAACTTCTGAGTTCTATTTCTCCTCAAATACTAAACGAAAGTTGACGAAGTTTTTAGCAGATATGTGCGGTAGGGTGCCTGGTTTGTGATAAGAACTTGGAATGAATCGATTCAATAGAACGGATTTTATTGGCGAAATAGATTTCGATTACATTCTTTAACCTTTTTTTCCCAAGTGCCCTGCCACCTTAGAGATATGTTTTGAAACGAGGCATAAGTTCTTCAGAAAAAAAAGTTTAATACAAAAGTTATAGAGAGTAAAAAGTGCTTTGAATCATTTCCACTTGCAAACACTTAAAGTGAAAGGAAGAAGCGCAATGGCTCCCTGACGAAATTATATTTGTTTTTCTTGCTTTTGCGGTGGGTTTTATCGCTATATTTGTAATAAAAGTATCATCACCAATAAAAGTACGTCTACAGATTTCATTTGCATGAATCCTTATGCAATCGAGTACCCTCTATCCAACTAAGCGAAAAAAACGATGGGAGAAATGTTTTTGATTTTTATAAAAATGCTTCCAAAATAATACTATTTTGATTTCGACAAAAAGCATCAAAAAATTGTTTCATAAAATTGTTTTGACAAAATCAATAATGCATTTTGTAGAGAGTTTGATTCTTTATCCACTGGATACCTTTTAAAATTTTTTAAAAACTGAGTAGGTCGGAAAATAGTGGTATAACGTGAGAAAGTTCCAATTTTTACAGATTGAAGAATCAGACGGATTTCGTTAAATCTCTTGAGATTTAACTGTACTGAGTACTTAGGGATTTTGAGCGATGCTCTTTTCGATAACTAATTAGAAAAAAAAATCGTTTTAAAGTTTATATTCGTTAGCTCAGGAGGACAATTAGCTGGCCAAACCGATATGAGTAAAAGCGAAAGAATTTTTAGCTAAGAAGATGTATTCGATACTTTCGTATACGTAAAATATTTGTCTAGGAGACAATACGGTGGCTTTACCAGGCCATTTCTCCAGAATAGGAGCAATAAAACTTAAAATCACTGTGATCATTGGAAAGAGCAGATCATTTTGTATCAGGACGCATACATTTCCGTTAATTTGTTCTGCGTTGGAGAACGGAACAGGCAAATTAGCAAAAGAGTCCATTAGAGATACCCATCTCTGGCTATTGGCCGACCAACACAAGCGCGTATTGATGCACACGTAGAGTCACTTTATGACACTGAAAATATTGTATTTATACGTTTTCGATATTGCTCTTTAAAATGGCAATAGCAGATATCTCGAGCCTTCAACCTACAGCAATAGAGAATGACCGTTACGCGTTTTAGCCGACTTCAGATCATGTTATGACGATTCTCGATACATACACCAATCATCTCTTTTGATACTTTCAACTATAGCCTGAAAATCAACACCTCTTCTTGTTACTGTGTTTTAGATCGTGTGGTTGTGGCGTACATTGTATTCATTTGATAAATGTGATCTATCTAAATTTTTACAATTTGTCACTGGTACTATCACTGTTCCGATCGGAGGTTTTAAAGAATTACAAGGTATGGATGATGTACAAAACTTTCAGGTACACCGAAGAGAAGACTGTTCAACTGATTATTTACCAACTGCCTGTACGTGGTAAGAATTGAGAGTTTGAATTATATGTGTACATCTATTCTCTTTTCATTTTCAGTAGAAATCAACTTTCTTTACCCGTCTACGAAAGTTATGAAAAATTACGAGAAAAATTATTACTAGCAGTTCGAGAATATGAGGGCTTCGCGCCTGAATAAACAATTTGTGCAATACGGTGTTAAAGAGAAAAATATGTACCCCGCGAAGTTTTAGAATTTTCTAAAAGAAATTGCAAGAAAACCAAAAGCAGTTAATCATATCAATTTCCGGATGTTAACAACCTCCTACGACAAAAAGCGAACATTAGCAAATTATGAACTACTACAAACATCGTTTGCATAAATTATGGCTGTTAAATAAAGTACGATTTTCGGACAGATTTTCTAGACAACACTAAAAGAAATAATTGTTTTTCAAGTGTTTTGATCCCATTATCACGTTCGTAGGTTAGTTGACCAGGTTCTCAAATTTTCAGATTCTTATAATGTATTTCAAGTGAATTGTGAGTTTTTAATCTTAGTCGAAAACGGCCTCGGAAGGCTAACTTTCGTAACTCTCAGTTTCCACCAGGTTCCTGAATCCTTTTTCCGATAACAAACATTACTACTAGATTTAGCATGGCTGATTACGCATGTTACCATTATAACTTCTTCAGCAGCATGAATACATATATACGTTTTTAAATTTAACTGTACAGCAGTATGCTTGCATACATAACTCTCAATATGAAGCGTCGTAGGCGCGGGCTATGGTCTCTTTGCTAATTTTCGCTGCGCCAATCAGTATCTAAGGACAATATTAAAATATCTATGAACTTTGCGTATGTATATTGTATATAACCCTGCTTCGCGCAAAGGAATGAGTTTTGACTCCTGAGACAATGCTAGATGCAGATATTCGGCTAGGAACTAGACTTCCTAAAAGGCGGTGGGAAGTCTATCCGATTTATTTCCATACTGTGACGGTTTCTGTAAAACTCCGACCGTCAGAAACGAATTTCGGTAACCAAACGTTCGGAAAATGTTTACCTAATACTTGTGCTCTTATTGTAAAATTTTGGCTCTAAAAATGATAAAAGCACGTGAGACTAGATTTAATATTTTACACATAAATTGCAAAATTTTATTACCAAAATACTCATTATGTTTGAAATAATTCCTACTATAACAATTCCAACTATTTGTTCTAACTTCATTCGCTCTTGACAATGGTCGCAGTAATGTACCGAAAGCTCGAGTAATAAAAGAAAAATTTAGCAGAATTTTCAAGATGTACTTTATCGGAGTATTATACCCATTGATCAAAATTTTATTATCAACTGCGTGTTCTTGGAATTTTTAGATCTGGAAATTATTTTGAATAAGAAATTAGTATGAGTTCATTTTTGTTCACTGTGTAATTCTTTTAGCCGATGAATCAACATGTGGTCTGTGTCCGTATATCGACGATCACGAACAACAATCATGTTCAGTCACATGAGCACATATCAAGGCTTGTCGATGACCTTAGAGTTTCTCATCTACAATGACCCATAAGAATGTCTTCTCTGACTTAAGAACGAGTCTCGATGTATGTGAATATTCAAATATTAAGTTTTAACCATAGCTTAATCCATTTCCCTTAGGTTTCTAGAAACTGGAAAGATTGAGTCTGGATCAGAAGCAAATCGGAGACAGTGAGGCACGATATCTGGTTGAAGCACTGAAAACAAATCAAGTAACGCATGTTTTAGACGTCGAGCGGACGTGAGTGTTTCCCAGCTCCTATGAGTCGCTCTTCGGAGCACGTGTAGCTATACCTTCACTGTAGTATCTGTTGGAATTGTTGTTCTAGCACCACTCTTTCCGAAATGTGCCCTTTCTTTTCTCTCACTCTCGAGGTAGACTTAAGGGTAGAATATCAGTATACTCTAATCTAACGTTCTTCTGTATCATAGGCCCTGACACAACTCTACTTACATCAGAATCAAATCGGATCATTTGTCGGATCACTTGTTCTACCTCGACTGTGTTCAACTTGTGATCATAATATAATTCAAGTTACAATTAAATCTATAAATGAACCTGTACAAAAGCGAGAGCGAACCATATATGATTATGAAAATACTGACTGGGACTATTATCGCTTTCAGCTTTCATATGTTAATTGGTTTCGTTTAATAGAAGGATCCTCATTGGATGATGCTGTGACACTTGTACAAAACAAAATACTAGAGATATCTAACAAAGTTGTTCCACATAAAATAATCACTTTATCTTCTCGCGACAAAATATGGTTTACAGGAAAATTACATAAACTATTGTATGAAAAGGATAAAGCTTTTCGTCGGTACCGTCGTACAAAGAATGAGTATAATTTACAATTATATAAAAAAAATTGCGAAAACATTTAAACATGAATGTAATGAAGCAAAAAAATCGTACTATCGTAAAATATCATCTGATCTCAGTACTAAATCAAAAAGATGGTGGACTCTTGTTAAAAATACTCTTGGAAGAGGAAAGCATTCGTCTGTTCCGCCTATATGTTGTATGGCTACTAGTGAACTCAAAAACGATTCAATAGGCAAAGCGAATGCTTTAATGAATATTTCGCTTCCGCATGCACCATGAGCACTGCAGATCTGAATGATATTGCTAAAACTCTTAGAAAATCAAAAACGATGATGTCTACTTTTCTAATATCTGAGCCTGATGTATTACATTTGTTAGAAAGAATAGATTATCATAAAGCTTCGGCGCCAGGATTATCACCTAGAATGTTGAAGGAAGCATCATCTATTGTCTGTAGTATTCTAACTCATTTGTTTAATGAATCCCTCAACCAATGTGTATTTCCATCTACATGGAAAATAGGCTATATTAATTCTAGCTTTAAATCTGGTGACCAAAGTGACCCTAAAAATTATAGACCTATTACTTTGTTGCCTATTTTGTCTAAGATTCTTGAGCGTTTAGTTTTTAAAAAATTGTATGGATATCTTGTAGGGAATAATCTCATTAATAAGAACCAGTCTGGATTTAGACACCATGATTCGTGTGTCAATCAGTTGCTGTCGATTGTACATAATATATATAAAGCATTTGATGAAAAGCAATCTGTTTTCGGTGTTTTCCTTGACTTTGCCAAGGCTTTTGATACAGTTTGGCATAAGGGTCTACTGTCGAAACTTGAAGCTAAGGGAATACCATCTCTCCTTCTTCAATGGTTTGAAAGCTATCTTTTTGATAGAAAAATTGTTACAGTTGTTGAAGGTTGCTCTTCACCAGGAAAAAATATTAATAGAGGAGTACCTCAAGGTAGTGTGCTTGGTCCCTTACTATTCTTAATCTATATTGATGATCTATGTGATAACCTTGTTTGTGACATGAAATTATTTGCTGATGATGCCTCATTGTATAGGAAGGGAACTGATCTTCAACAAATGGCTTCTGATTTAAATAATGACCTAGTCATGATTGAAAAATGGTCTCAACATTGAAAATTATCTCTTAATATATCGAAGTGTGAAGCAATGCTATTCACATTAAAGCCTGTTCCTGCTGTTCTACCGCGTTTATACATTGCTAATAATCCGGTCAGGCAAACCACTGTTCATAAACACTTAGGATTGTTATTAACTGTAAGGCTAGATTGGACTGAGCATTTTGATAATATACTACTTAGGATCAATAAACTGATTGGACTATTAAAATTGCACAGTCGTGTGTTAAATCGACAAACATTAGATGTAATTTATAAATCCTTTGTTTTACCGTGTTTTTCTTATGGATGTGTTGTTTTCAGTAATACTACTGAATATAATTTACAACGCCTTCAGAGCGCACAATATCGCGCAGCATTGGCTGTTACGGGTGCTATGTGTGATAGTAGTTCCGAATCTATCTACCTGATCTTGGCTGGTCTTGTATTCGTGATATGTTTAAGCAACACCGTATAGTTACATATCATACTATAATAGTTCGTCGAAAACCTGATTATTTATTTGGTCTAATACCTACTCCTACTCATCCAAACTCCAATTATAACCTTCGTAGTCAGTCAGCAACTGGACCGCAGCTAAGTATGCCCAAATGTCGCTTAGATATGGTTAAACATTCATTTTTTTATCGTGCCTTAAGCGAATGGTCTAGTCTACCTACTGATGTGTTACTTACGTTGAAATTACCGATATTCAAAAAGAAAATAAAAAAACCTGTGATA